TCAAAGGGGGAGAAATATTATGAGTATACATTTCCTTTCATATATGCATGTGTATTATAATTTATATATTTATTTGTATTCATGCATATATCCTTTTTGTAAATTGTTTGTCATCATCAAAAAGGGGGAGATTGTTGGCCTTCTTGTTTTGATGATGTTTAACAAACAATTTACCACTAATGTTATTTGTCTAGTATTTGTGTTTTCGTATTTATTATAGACAAACAACGTTGTTGGAGGTTGGATGGAATAGCGCTTCAACGACGATATCAAATGGAGGTTGGTGGAATTGTGGAGTGAAGCAACATACAATTCAAGTTAAAGATCAAGTTCAAGCTTCATCCGCAAATATATCAAGTCAAGCCTATTGAAGATCAAGATCAAGCTTTGGTATATTTAGTTTAGGTTTTATATTATGTGTGTTATATTCTTTATGGCATTTTGATAGGGGGAGCAATCCCTATATCCTTTTATGTTTTATACTCACCTATGCTTATAGGGGGAGCTTTCTTTTGCTCTCTTATTCTTTTTGTCCCCTTTTTGATGTTGTCAAAGGGGGAGAAATATTGTGAGTATATTCTTTCTTGTTTATATGCATGTGAATTATAAATTATATATTCATTTCCTTCATGCATATATTTTTTTTTTGTAAATTGTTTGTCATCATCAAAAAGGGGGAGATTGTTGGCCTTCTTGTTTTGATGATGTTTAACAAACAATTTACCACTAATGTTGTTTGTCTAGTATTTGTGTTTTCCTATGTATTGTAGACAAACAACGTAGTTGGAGGATGGATGGAATAGAGCTTCAACGATCATATCCAAAGGAGGTTGGCGGAATGTCGGTGAAGCCTTGCAATTCAAAGTTAAAGATCAAGTTCAAGCTTCATCCGCGAGATTACCAAGTAGAGCTTATTGAAGACCAATCAAGCTTGGGTAATTTAGTTTAGGATTTATATTATGTGTGTTAGATACTCTAAGCTCAATATAATATACACACATGTATTTGGTTTCTATGTATATATATAGTTATATATATACATGCATGGTTTTGAGTTTTCATGCTTTGGACACACTTGTAAAATACATGAGTTTTCACAAATAGAAATTCAATTTGATAAATTCTTTTTCTAACATGTTTGTTTTCATGTTTATAAACATTTCGTAAAGTTTCATCAAGTTTGGAATTGATTTGTTATGTTTAATGGAATTTACAAAATCATGTTTTTCGTTCGTGCATGTTCGTGCATGTTTTACAAAATAAATGAGTTTTCATAAATGGGAAGTGATATTTAAGAAATTCTTTCTTTTACATGTTTATATACATGTTTAGAAACTTCTCTCAAAATTTTACTATTTTTAGAGTTGATTTACTCTGCCCAATTGATTTTACAAAATCGTATATGTTAACAGTTTTTCAGAAACTATAAATTTGTGTTCAAATATTTATTTCTCTCAACTGGGAAAATATATTTCAGAAATACTTTCTCTGACATGTTATTCTACATGTCTAGAACATTCCCACAAAATTTCATAATTGTTGGAGTTCATTTACTATTTTAAATTGATTTTATAAAATAGCTGCACACTGCTACAGTAACTCCGGTCGACCGGACCGGTCGACCGGAAATGTCTCTGGACGTTACTCAGCTTTGCATATGGCTCCCGGTCGACCGTACCGGTCGACCGAAGTACTGTAGCAGCCGACCGTTGCTACAGTAATGTCTAGTTCTGTTTTTTTGTTTATTTTAATATTTTGGGGGTGTTTTTCTTGGTTTTTGGACTTGTTTCATGAGCCTATATGTACCCCATGCCCTCATACTTCTAAGAGGACTTAAGAAATATTTTAAACAAGTTTAAAGAGTTTTAAACAAGGTTTTAAGTTTGTTTAATGTTTGTTTAGAAGCTTTTAAGCAATTGGGTGTTTGAGTTTGAGAATTCAATTCCACAAGAGCTTGAGGAGATCATCTATTAGAGTTTGAGCAATCAACTATTCTCCCTCCATCTCTTGTCATCTATTGAGAAGTTTTCTAAACTCAATCTAGCTTTATATTTCATATTGTTTGATTATCGTTTTATTAAGCATTGCATTGGCGCACTTGTTTTCATGTTCATATCTTACATCGCCATTGTGTATTGCTTGTTGATCATTTTGCCCTATCACATTTGTAGTTAATTTTTTACCCCTCTTGTTAGTTTTATATCCTTGCACATACATTGTCTATATCTCTTTGTTAGGATATATCTTATTGTTTATATATCCTTTCATATATTTCTATCATATAGGATATATCACCTTGTGTATATTGCATATTCTTGCACATAACTCTTTGTATATCTATCTTGCAAGAATAAACTTGTTAATTAGTTTTAATTGGCATTTAATCGGATTAGATTAGCATAAAACCCTAATCACCCCCCTCTAGGGTCTAACAGACTTCGTCTGTGATCATGATACGAGGCGAAACACCACGGGGTATGTTTATACCTTAGCGTCGACAGCAGTGAGCTGGATCTCACGTCTGCAGAAGATTGTGACTTTGTCTACAACCGAGGCTGAGTATGTCGCGGTGACTGAAGCAAGAAAGGAGATGATTTGGTTGAACGGGTGCTTGGAAGAGTTAGATCTGAAGCAAGGGAGGAGTTCTTTATTGTGATAGCCAGAACGCTATACATCTTGCCAAGAATCCAGTATATTATGTCAGAACGAAGCATATCGACGTCAAATACCATTTTATACGCTCGCTAATTGAAGACGGAAAGTTGCATTTGATAAAGATTTTGAGGAGTCAAAATCCGGCGGACATGTTGACGAAGACAGTCACCATTGAGAAACTGGAGTTGTACGCAACTTCAGTTGGCCTTCACGAGTAGAAGACGAAGGCGGAGCCACACTACGAGGATCGGCGAGATCGCCGGGATATTGATGATTGAAGAATGGATATTTCAAGTAGGAGAAGATGCTTGCGAAGAAGGTGGAGTTCGGGAGAGCTCATTGATGGTGGTTTGATCTCCAAGTGGGAGATTGTTGGTCTTGAGAGTGGAGACCCAAACCTAGAATCAAAATCAATAATTGCATAAAAATTCAAGACAGGTCATGGGTGTGGTCTGTGCCACACCAGGGTGTGGCAGAATCTGTCATGTTTGCCATGGGTGTGGTCTGCGTCACACCCTGACCACATCAGGGTGTGGCAGAATCTATCCTGTCTGCTATGGGTGTGGTCTGCGCCACACCAGGGTGTGACAGACTCGTTTTAGAATCCTAATTTGTTTGGGATTGTGTTTTGTTATAAATAGAAACACGTCTCTTTAGGGTTTAAGAGAGAAAAAGAGCATGAAAAAAGAGGGTTTTGAGGGCTCTTTGGGGTTAGAAATCTTAGAGAGAGAGAGAGAGGCCAATTGCAAGCATTATAATCTTCTTCAAGTAATCAAAGAATTGTGTGGTGTGGCTCCCGAGAACGTAGGCACGTTGCCGAACCTCGTTAAATTTGGTGTGTTCTTTCTTATTTATTTTCCTACACGTTTTTATCTTTGATTTATGGTGAATTTCTTTCTTGCTCAACTTTCAAACACAAGATCCGGAAGGGTACGGATTTGATTTGATTATTTCAAATCCCCAACAACTGTGACGCTGACTGGGCATGTTGCTATACTACATGACGCTGCACCATGGGTTTCATAATGCTTGGTCGTGCTCCCGTATCTTGAAAAATAAAGAAACATCAAACTGTTTCCCGTTCATGTGCTAAGACTGAATATCAGTCCATGGATTTTTGCTACAAGTGAGTTGCTTTGACTTCGTCAATTACTCTTAGATCTTATCGTACCACAAGCATTTCCGACGCCTCTTTATTGTGATAATCAAGCTGCCATTCGTATTGCCTCCAGTGTTTCACGAGCACAATAAACACATCAAAATTGATTGCTGTTTTGTTTATGATCACTAGATCCAGTAGGACATCACTCCTCGTTATGTTCCTACACAACTAGTTGGCGAATATATTCACCAAAGCTTTGAGCTCCGAACATATCCAAATTTTAAGGGCAAAGTTGGGCATTCTTAATCTTCATGTTCCAACTTAGGGGAGCATTGGAGATAATATCCCTTAATCTCCTCATGGTTGACTCATTGCAATCCTCTAAAAGGGATACTCTCATAATAGATTGACAAAATCTTCTTTTATTTCTTCTCCTTTAGTTTAGAAAGCTAAATATTTATTTATTTCTTGCTCCTTAAGGGCTTGTTTGGATTGAGGGGAATGAGGGTGAAGGGAAGTTAGGGGAATCATTCACTTCCATTCACCTTGTTTGGGAACACTTAGGAGGTGAAGTTAATTCACCCTAGTTCCCCTTGGTTCACCCCCTAATAGTATAAAATTTGTTACCCCCCAAATTGGGGTGTAACCAAGGGGAAGGGAACTCCCTTCCCTTCCCTTCCCTTCCCTTCTCTCAGTTTCCCTTAACTTCCCTTCACCCCTACAAATCCAAACAGGCCCTAAGGCAAGGACCTATAACGAGTTGTATATATAGCTGTATATCTTGTAACATGAAAAGTTTAGCTATATTTTAATATTAATTTATCTAGATCATAGCTGATGCCCTGTATATATGTCAGTACATCTGATGGATCTGCATATATGTCAGTATGTGTGTCACTTTATGGGCAAACTAATTGGGATCATGACTATTCATTAACCCCTTCATTTTACTTGTTCTGTAATATGTCATGGAAAAGTCTGGAGAACAATTGACATTTTAAGAAAAATTTGAAGAACTACGAAATTCATTTTCTCTCACGGAAAATATAAAAGACTCTAATCTGTTCAATATTTTACTGTGGAATATTGCCTCTCTATCTATTGTTTGTCCGAATAATTATAGGACTTAACAGGATTTTAGAGCCCATTTTATCAAAAAGGCCCAATACAATTAAGCCCACTGTGCCATAAATTGAGAGTCAATCGCTGTTTCTCTTGGAACACCTCTCGCGCTTCGATCACATTCGATTTGAAGTGAGTTTGCTTTAATTTTGTTCAACTTTCAAATTCACTGGTTTTTTTTAGAATCGTCTATCAGAAATTTAGTTTCTTGACGGTCCGTTGCGGATAAGTTGTTGATAAACAAAGTTACTGGTAGAGATGTGGGTATTTTAACTTTGAAAAATTATCATTCTGGAATTCATTTTGATCGTAATTTTGGAATGATTTTTGTTGAATATGAATGATTCCGAGCAAAGGATTCTGCTTTATTTTCTGTTGAATGGATTACAAGTCTCTATGATACAATGTTAACATGCCATTCTCTCTCTAAATTCAAACTCCCCAATCTCATCTTTAAACCTCATCTCTCTCTCCTCCACACTCTCCCTCCCTCTCTCCACAAACAAAAAATTCACCTCCTTAACCTCCTCCAACAAGAATGCACCAATTTCAACCACCTCAAACAAATCCAAGCTCAAATGGTTCTTTCAGGCATTTTCTCAGACACTTTCGCTGCGAACCGCCTCCTAGCCTTCTGTGCTCTGTCAGACTCTCCCAATCTCCCATACGGCAATCTAATCCTAAACCAAATAGAAAACCCAAATGTGTTCTCTTGGAATTTGGCTATTCGTGGGTTCGCCGATAGCAGTGACCCTAAACAATCGGTGTATTTGTATAGAGAGATGCTTTGTAGCAATGGCCGACCGGATAATTACACATTTACATTCTTGTTCAAGGCCTGTGCCAAGAATTGGGATATGAGAACTGGGGTCGTCGCTTTTGGGCAGGCTGTTGAATTGGGTATGAGCTCGGATGTTTTCGTAATCAATGCAGCTATTCATTGCTTTGCATCTTGTGGGGCATTGGATGGTGCCCGTAAGCTGTTCGATGAAAGTTGTGTGAGAGATTTGGTTTCTTGGAATACGATGATAAATGCTTATGTTCAGCGTGGGAGACCGAGAGAGGCATTGGATATTTTTCATAGGATGATGGTGGAGAAAGTTAGAGCAGATGAGGTTACGATGATTGGCATTATTGCTTGTTGTACACAGTTGCAAGATTTGGATTTGGGGAGGAGGATTCATAGGTATATTCAGGATAAGGACATAAAGGGTACTGTTCCCTTGACAAATGCATTGATGGATATGTATGTGAAATGTGGGAGTTTGCAGCCTGCACAGGCGTTGTTTGATGGGATGAGTCAACGGACGGTGGTGTCTTGGACCACGATGATCATGGGTTATGCCAAGTTTGGATTGTTGAAAGATGCTCGTAGGGTCTTTGATGAGATGCCCCAGAGAGATGTTGTTCCCTGGAACGCGCTAATGGCTGGTTATGTTCAGTGCAGGCGAGGTAAAGAGGCGTTTTCCCTGTTTCAGGAGATGCAAGGGTCTTTGATCAAGCCCAATGAGGTCACCATGATTAGTATTTTGTCTGCATGTTCTCAACTTGGCGCCTTGGAAATGGGAATGTGGATTCACCGTTACATTGAAAAACAAAAATTCCAGTTAGATATTACGTTAGGAACTGCTCTAGTGGACATGTACGCAAAATGTGGCAATATCAAGGAGTCACTTCGAATATTCAATGAGATGACAGAGAGAAATACCCTAACATGGACATCTATAATTTGTGGTCTTTCCGGTCATGGGCATGGCAAGGATGCCATAAAGCATTTCAAAAGGATGATAGAGATCGGGTTGGAACCAGATGAGGTTACCTTTCTCGGGGTTCTATCAGCATGTTGTCATGCTGGATTGGTTGATGATGGTCGTGTATTTTTTTCTCAAATGAGCTCAAAGTATAGACTTCAACCGAAGCAAAAGCATTATTCTTGTATGGTTGATCTTTTTGGTAGAGCTGGTTTATTACAAGAAGCTGAGGAGCTAATAAGTAGTATGCCTATGGAGCCTGATTCAGTGGTATGGGGTGCTTTGTTCTTTGCTTGCCGAATTCATGGCAATGTTGCTTTGGGCGAGCGAGCTGCTTTGAAATTGATAGAACTAGATCCAAAAGACAGTGGAATCTATGTATTGCTTGCAAATATGTATACAGAGGCAAACATGCGGGATGAAGCAGATAAGGTGAGGATGCGAATGAAGGAGATGGGTATGGAAAAGACTCCTGGCTGCAGTTCTATTGAGGTTAATGGTGTTGTTTATGAGTTCATGGCAAGGGACAAATCACATTCAGAGCACAAGGAGATTTATGGATGTCTGATGCAAATGTATGGGCAAATGGTGCACAGTCGAGGTAAGCCTACTATATTTTGAATTAATTTTATTCAATGAAGATGAAAGTAACATACTGAGTGTGTGTAAAAAAATATCATGCAGAGTATAGATCAGGATTCATAATTATTGTTCGCGGCACTCTCTTTGTTACTTATTAATCTCATCTCATTTTATTTATAGAGCAGACGAGTTAACTTTCCAATAGTGTGTGTGTTGTTTCTACTGTTTTAGGTTCTCTTCTTAACCTACTTTTCGAAATCTTCCATTAAAACCTTTACTCTCCAATTGAATATTGTATTCCACATTTTTACCATTTGAATTTACAGTTAAATTCTTCCACTTCTAGGCCATAAGTGGTCAGTTTCTATGAATTTACAGTTTCCTATAACAGGTCTCATGTTTGGAGCTTTTGATACTTGTAAACAGCTTATGTTTATGTCCATCCAGGAGTATGTTTTATGTTATTCTTCTTAATGTTCATAATATTAACACTACATTGCTACTGAGTTGTATCAGCTAATCACTGATCCAAAAGTTAAGCTGACATTGTGTATCAAGTTTACTACGTTCCTAGTAAAGGCCTTAGTTCACATGGAAGCAAACTTTGAAGTTCCAGCAATGAGCTAGAAAACTAGATGATCATTTCTGTGGTGCTTTAACGAGAAGGAAGAGGATGATAGATGTATCAGTGCATGAATTGATCAACCCTCATTTTCTACTTTTTCTTCATGGCTTTTTGTTAGGAGACGGGGGTTCATGCATTGGGTTGATTAAGAATTTAGATCGTTATTGATTGAACCAAGGAAGGTTAGGGTAAGTAACAAAACGAGCTAGTTTTTGAGTAGACAAGGAAATAAAGGTCCGTCAGTTAGCAGAATCACAATTCGTTTTCAACGTAACATAACGGGATTGGACGTTGAACCGGGATTTCTGATTGAAGGTAAGGACATAGAGTCGTCCTATCAAATTGGGAATTATCACAGTTCATCTAGTTCTTAATGTTGCAAATGAGTACTACAAAATAAATCTAAGATTGAATATTGAAACTACTGTGCATAGATTTCTATCAGTTGAAAGTGTTGACTCTGCTTCTTGGCGAAATCCTTTTAACTTTATTTGTTTTAGAGATTTTCCTCACGTTATGGTTGGATTGATTTATTTTCAGAGTAGGACTAACAAAAAGCCGTATATAAATATTTGTACTTTATATCTCATTTCATTAATATCTTTTTAGCAAAACATGGGAGGTTTTCCGCCTCATAGTTACCCTAACAAAAGCCCCAATCTAAAGGAATGCTAAACAAAAGCTTGATGAACTGACTTGGTTTCCTGATCAAACCCTTAACCGTTGAACGGTTGTTTACCCTTGTGCAAACTTCTCATAATAAATCTTGAGTAACTCCTTAGCTTTCATCTTTCTGAATAAAAATGGTCTCATCTCAGTCACTAAACCTTCTACTGGTTCCAACATCTTTTCTGATTCAAGCAAATAAAACATAGTGACAGATATCCTTTCCTTAGAATCTGCAACCACTCTATGCACATCACTCTTGGAAGTTCCATTGCTCATTACCTGTATCGAAATTTCTTTTATTGTACATAGGTTGATATATTATTGGAAATCCTATATTCTATACGAAGTGTGTAATTGCTCGATTGTAGTCAATGAAATTTGTTGGATTGTTCACTATATTGAAATGAGTTGGGATTGATGAGGAGTTAGTCAATGATGTTCGAACGTGTGATGGGAAGGTCAAAGTCAATGTTTTAAGTTATTATGATAAGTTCTATGCCTACCTATACAATTATTAACCCTAATAGCATAGGACCTAGCATATATATTATGAGTGCCATGTTGCTGGAAAAACCGTATATCCATTGTGGGTATGACATTGTTAAGGTCTAATATTTTTGCAAGTATTAATGGTATAATGCTATAGTAGGAAGAATATATTAGCAATATGTGATTGAAAAACATATATGATTGAGGTATCAAATATGATGAGAATACATTTAACATATTTCTAAAGATAAAATGCCTGTATTCATTGGGTCTCTGATTTTCCTCAAGATTATTTCCAACAGTAATTACATATATAGCAATTTCATTCACACGACACACCTAATCGATGACTTAGAATTATGCAGAAAGCAATGAAGAAAACTACTCATTACCTCTATCTGGTTTCCCAAATTGACAAGCAAAGCACGGGGAGCGATAGGAACTTTTACCCATTCTCCATCTTTGAGCACGTGAAGCCCCTCCACCTCTTTGTCAGGAAAAACTATATTTATCACTGAACCATCAGAATGAGGCTTGAGTCCATAAACAAGGTCAGGCCTTGAGCAACTCGGATAGTAGTTGAAGGTTGCAAGCACTTCAGCTCTATCATCCAATTGGCTGATGAACTGGTTTTTGTTCAATTTCAGTATCCTTGCCAAAGCCATAAGAACAATTTCGGTTATCTCCCTCACCTTCATCGTTTAATCATGGGCCATTTCCCTACGACAAGAAACATCAACATTATATCTTGCCCATACTTAAAAGTCTAGTCTGTTTTTATATCATAACAACTTTTACAAAAAAGAGAAACAATGACAGTTGAAGCATTGATAAATATCAATTGCAGATGCACTAGATTTAACGAGGTTCTAAAATATGGAGAAAATCCCAATTCTGCTATTACTGTGTTTTTTTTTTTTTTTTGCCCCAGAGATTTCTTGTAAACAGCTTGACAGAAATCTGGTCACAATCTAAAGGGAATTCAAGACGAAACACAAAAGGTGGAAGGTGTTCCCTTTCAACACATACCTGAAAGTGATTGGATTCTCAGGCCAATATTCTAATTTCCTTATGTCTTCAGGTTGTACTATGAAATTGAGGTGGTCATTCCAGTCAATGATTTGGTCTTCAGACATGACGTAGTCGTTTCCATATCCTTCCACTTGGTACTCTCCATTCTTTAATTTTCTACACTTCTGCTTCTCTTCAATAGGAAGTTGACAGAATTTCCTTGTTACATTTTGCAACTCGTCGAGAAAAGAGGGTAAAATGTCATGGCTGGTGACCTGCAAATATAAGAAGAAATGAATATATGATGGAAACAAGTGAGCAATCATATAAATTGCAGGTTGTAGATGGTCACTAAGTGCTACCTCTCCACTTCATCAATGACTTTTGCATGTTTGTTCTTTGAAGGAGATTCTTCTTATCTTGAGTGTCACTATGAATAAGACATGATTGATTTCAGAGCAAGTTATCGATCAAAATTTGACTACACGTATATTTGCACCAAGTTTCGAACTGCGGTGGAGAGTCTTACCAGAAACAAACCCCAAGATTCAATGGCATATCTGAGGCTGTAGGCCTCATCTTCTTGCCAGTTACATTAAAGCAGTCGACAGATATCGATTATGGGGGAGGATTCGCTCCCTAGGCCTTTGTGCCCTGCTGGTTGGGAGTTCGAATCTCCGTAGCCGCATTCACCTGGTCTCCTTTGGTTTAAGGGTGGGGATGGAGACCCGGGGTTTTACCCTGTTGGTATGCCAGCCTGGTAGATAGGGGCCCGGTTGGGTCGTCTTGGTCCACACACTGCCTGCCCTATGCATGTGGGTCACGCTGGTCCTGGCATGTGGGGATGAGCCCCCTAAAATAATTGGGCGAAGCTCCTTGTAGTTGTGGGAGGATCGTGCGTCTCGATCTGTGGTCTCCGCCAGACCCAAAAGTGGGGCGCTGGAGTGCTAACCGGGGTTCCCTCGTTACCAAAAAAAAAAAAAAAAAAAAAAAAAAGATATCGATTATGGGAATGTCGTATGCTGTTGGAGGAGCGCAATCCGAGTGTTCTTCCTCCGGCAGGAGGTAGTGCGTCGACGGTGTCTAGACGTTCTTCACCAGTTCTTGAACCGGTTTAATTGTCTCAAGTACCTTCTCACTCATCTTAATTCTTTGATTAATTAAGGTCACTTAGATATCAGTTCACCTTCTTTTTATAGTTGAAGTCGAGGAATATAGGGAAAGTGGCCTAGATGGAGACCATAAAGTCTTTTTATCATTTGTAGAGGAGCAAAGAAAGTGTAGTCTTTTCGGTGCCGTTGGGAGAGAAAGGTTAAGAAGTAGGATTGAAAATAATTTAATTTTATTTGGATTCGACAGTAAAGATGAAGGGTTAATTTTTTGTGCTTGGCAAAGAAAGAAGAATTAAGATGGTTAGTTGTCATATCCTAAATTAGTTACTATAATATTATTTCTAAAAATTTCAATTATTACCTTGTGGAAAATAAATGTTTGCCCACCCCCCAGGCTTCATTGTAAAGAGTTTGTTAGCCCTTCTTGCATGTTGATTTTCATTCGTTGATGTGTTTCAATCAGCTAGCTTCTGGTTTTCAATTTTGATTTTTAATTAATTAATTTGGTCAGAGGCATGCTATTGACACAAAAATTTTGGGGTGCAAGAATACCTCCTATCTGTAACTTGCGCAAATTTGTTTCAATTTATTTTGGCATACACAATGTACAAGAGATGAATGCTGACCCTTGTATTAAAGTCTATAAGAGAAATTTGGATTTATTTTTTGTTTTCAAAGAATACCCAAAATCAAGATGCAACTAAGAATTTTTTTTCCTTGTAAACTTTTTTTTTTACCTTATAAAGTTGCTTAGCATGCATTTCTCACACTGCCAATAAATTCAATCCCATACGAGGTTCACTGACAAGAATATGGCATCATTGGCTATGCAACCAAGGATTTAAAATCCTTTCTTGTGTAGGGGTGGGCGCTGCGCTGGGTTGGCCCATGAGCCCGCTCGTTGGGCTCGCTCTTGAGCTCGGCTTGACC